TTATCCAAAGAAACTCAAAACACTAATTCAAAAAGACAAAAGCATCCATATGTTTACTGCAACATTATTTACAATAGCCAAGACATGGAAGCAACCTAAGTGCTCATCAGCAGATGAGTGGATAAAGGAGATGTGGTGCATATATACAATGGAATATTATTACTCAGCTATAAAAAAAGAGTGAAGAGCTTCCAGTCAGGATGGCAGTGTAGGCAGACATGGCTCGCTTCTTCTCACAACCACATCAAAATTACAACAAAAACATAGAACAATTGTCACTCAGGAACATTGGAAGTCAAGCTGAATAGAAGTCTGACAACTACAGAATTAAAGAGACTACATCCAACCAGACTGGCAGGAGGGGCACAGATGCGGAGGGGGCTTGTCCCACATACACGTGTGGTAGATAAAAATTTGGGAGGGATATCTCAGGAGCAAGGAGTCCCAGACCCACACCAAGGCCCTCCCAGCCCAGGATTCCAGTGCCAGGAAGAAAAGTCCCCACAACTTCTGGTTGCAAAAACCAGCAGGGATTGAGTCAGGGGAAGAAACTTCTGGAGCCCCAAGCAGTTCCTCTTAAAGAACTCCCACATGGACTCACCTACTCAGACTTACTCCCTCTGAGCTCCCACATGAAGGTAACAGCTTGAAAGGCATCAGTGGTATACAGGGAGAAACTGAAGGGTCTGGCGTCAAGGCAAGTGGAGGCCATTGTCTCTTTGCTAAACCCTCCCCCCACAGAGCTGGTAAGCTGGTGCCATATCTGAGATTCCATCAACCTGGCTAACACTGACCCACCTTGGAGGTCCCCAGAGGCTCTTCCCCACCCAACCTATGGGCCCACCCAAGCTGCTTTTCCAAAAGAATGGCTGGTCTTGGCTCCTAAATCATATAGAACGAACAGCTGGCCTCAGTGAGTCCTAGCTGCAGCCAGGTTAGATTCCCAGCTTGGCTTTGCCAAGGAATCTCCAAGCCCAGCACAAGTAGCAGCCATCTCAAATTGTTTTACAGCTCAGGCAGGGTGTCCTGGGCAAAACACAGGTGGGGGCTGACCTTGGCCTGCACCACCCGGGAAATCCCTAGGGCCAGCACACCCAGTGGACAGCTACAGACCACAGAGCACCACCGCCCTGACCTGCACAGCTGATCCTTCACGGACAGCAGCGATTGATGGTCAGTGGTCAGAGCCAGTCCTTCCAACCAACTGGCCTGGCTAAATCCCTCCCATTGACCTGCCAACAGAAACCAAGGTTCAACTACAAGAGGAGGATATAATCAGCCCACATAAAGGGCACACCTTGACACCCAGCTTGGGTGGTAGGTGAGGGTGTGCCACTGGACCCTACAGAACATCTAGTACATTAGGCCACACTGCCAAGACAGAGAGTCCAAGCAGCTCTATCTAATACATAGAAACAAACACAGGGAGGCTGCCAAAATAAGGAGACAAAGAAACATGTTCCAAATGAAAGAACAGATCAAAATTCCAGAAAAAAAATATGTGAAATGGAGCTAAGCAACCTATCAGGTGCAGAATTCAAAACACTGGTTATAAGGATGCTCAAGGAACTTAGTGAGGACCTCAGCAGCATAAAAAAAATACCTAGTCAGAAATGAAGGCTACGCTAATTAAAATAAAGAACAATTTACAGGGAAACCACAGTAGAGTAGATGAAGCCGAGAGTCAAATCAATAATTTGGAAAACAAGGAAACAAAAAACAACCACAGAGAACAAGAAGAAAATAGAATCCAAAAAAGTGAGGACAGTATAAACAGCCCCTGGGCAACTTCAAGAGGTCCAACATTTGCATCATAGTGGTGCCAGAAGAAGAGAAAGATCAAGAAACTGGAACTCTATCTGAAAAAATAATGAAAGAAAACTTCCCTAATTTGGTGAAGGAAATAGACATGCAAGTTCAGGAAGCACAGAGTCCCAATTATGATGGCTGCAAAGAGGCCTACTCCAAGAGATGTCATAATTAAAAGGCCAAAGGTTAAATATAAAGAGAGACTCTTAAAAGTATTGAGAGAAAAGAAGTTAGTTGGCTGCCAGATGGGAGTGGGGGGAGGGAAAGAATGGGTGAAGATGTGAGGGGATTAAGAAGTACAAATGAGTAGGTACAGAATAACCATGGGGATGTATAGTATAGGAAATGGCGTAGCCAAAGAACTTATATGCATGACTCATGGACATGGACAATAGTGGCGGGATTGCATGAGGGAGTAGGGAGCGCTGGGTAGAGGGGGACAAAGGGGGAAAAAAACGGGACAATTGTAATAGCATAATCAATAAAATATATTTTTTTAAAAAAAGAGTGAAATCTTGCCATTTGCAACTACATAAATCAACCTAGAGGGTATTATGCTAAGTGAAATAAGTCAAACAAAGACAAATACCATATGATTTCACTTATCTGTAGACTCTAAAATACAAAATAAATAAACAAAACAGAAACAAACAAAAAATAGATACAGAGAACAAACTGATGGTTGCCAGCTGGGAGGGGTTTTGAGGGATGAGTATAAAAGGTGCCAGTCATTAAAAACAGTTACAGGGATATAAAGTACAGCATAAGGAAATACAGCCAATAATATTGTTAATAATTATGTATGGTGTCAGATAGGCATTAGATTTATTGGCGTGATCACTTATTAAGTTATGAAATGTTTAATCAGTATATTGTACACCTGAAATGAATGTAATATTGTATGTCAACTGTAATTGGAAAATAAAAAATTACTTTTAAAAAGCAGTGTCAGGTTTTCTCTTGAAGCTAAGTCTTTCCTGATGAAGCCACCTGCACTTGGACGTCTATGACGAATTAGCCTTTCCCAGAAAATTGCTGTCCTTGGTTTTGTCTCTGGAGATGGGGTCTCTAGACTGTACTTGTGGAATTTTGTAGTTATTTTGCTGAGTAGTCTATAACAAATGATATAATAACTATAATTATGATAACTCAATGTATTGATTGCTGGGCACTGTTCTAAGTGTTTTGTATATGTGTATATTATCTCATTTCACCTTCAAAATTCTAACCTCTTTGTGTCCCAGTTTCCCTCTTGTTGAAACTTCAAACAAAACCATATTTTTGTTTTCCTGATTCTCTCTTCCCTGCTACCATGAATTTCTCTCATGGCTCCTTCAAAGGACTGAGGAGCTACATGGGCAATTCCAAATTCCACACAACTTCCTAATACAGTCCTTTCTTAGTCTTCAGAGAAAAGAGGGAGAGGGCTAAACTGGGGGAGGGGAGCACAGGTGCATGTGCGCATGCGTGTGCGCATGTGTAGGGAGAAGAATCATTTTTTATTCACATTTTTCTCCTGGTGGAAAAAACCCAGGGAGGCTGGATGAAAGGTGGGGCAGTGCTAATAATGCCTCCTGCTATCGCCATCTGGTGGACAAAAGGAGGAAATCAGGGTTTGGAGATGAACCAGATGAAATTGCTGAAATGGGAACATTAAACACCAGTCAGAGAAAGGCAAATACCATATGATTTCATTTATATGTGGAATCTAATGAATGAACCAAACTAACAAGGAAAATGCACACAGACTCATAGTGAAGAGTGGGATATCAGCCAAGGGGGACGGGGAGGTTACAGGGTGGAGGGATAGAGCTAAAAGGAAAAAGGACTCATGGACATGAAAAACAGTGTGATGATTGCTGCGGGGGGGTGGGGGGGTGGGGGGAGGGGGATATACGGGAACTAAATGGTAATAGAAAAAAAAATAAAACCAATAGAAACAATACAAAAAGAAAGAAAGAAAGAATAATAAATGTTATTATTCTTGGCCCTGGTTAGCTCAGGTGGTTGGAGCATCATCACCATATGCAAAGGCTGCAGGTTCATTTCCTGGTCAGGGGACATACAAGAAGCAACCAATGAATGAATAAATAAGTGGGACAAGAAATTGATGTTTCTCTCTCTTTTTCTAAAAAAAAAATCAATGAACATTATTAGCCTGTAGTATCTACTAGGAAGCCTGCAGCAGGTATCCAAGTTGACCCTCATCCCTGACTCCTGGCAGAATCAGGTCCCTTCCCTATTCCTATCCCATGAATACGTAGCACAGGTCTGTATACAAGGCACTACGGAGGCAAATTATCTGACTAATTAAAAGAAGCTCAGAACTAAGTTACTCTCTGGACTTCAGTTTTCTTGGTGTAAAATTAACGACTTCAAGGCCCTGACCAGCCTTGACTTTGATGCATCAGAGTCCCTGGGAGGGCTTGTTAAAACAGAGAGCCCTGGACGAGCCCCATCTCAGCATTTCTGATCCAGCAGGTCCCGAGAAGGGTCTGAGAATTTACACTTCTAACAAGTTCCCAGGGGATGCTGGGGCTGCCAATCCAGAGATGCCCTCCACCTTGAAGAATCACTATTCTAGTTGATTAGTCTCCGTGGTGTGAGAAAATGAATAAACAGGCATGTGGAAGGAACACAGAACTATATAAAATAGAAGCCAAGGCTCCAATAATTTATCTGTCAAAGGTACATAAATAAGTGCCTCAAATCCTGGCGTAGATTCATCCATGGGTTTACTTGGTGCCTCTATGTCAGCAAGAGCACTTGGGTGGGTGGGGGTCAGTGAGCCCCCCGAGAGGGCTGTAGAGAGGGAGAGTGGATCAATGGAGAGAGGAGGAGCCTAGTTGGCTTTTGGCCATAGGTAGAAGTGGACTTTTTCAAAACTTAGGGTGATACAAAGGGAGAGCTGGAAGAGACCTTAGAAGAGACCACCTAATTCAACCTTCATTTTTAAGGTAAAACTGAGTCAGAAAGCTTAAATAACTTTTCCAAAGTCACATAGCTACTCAGCAGCTCTCTCTCTTCTTAAGTTGCTAACCCACTCTCTTCACAAGAAGGTCCTAGGGAAATCCAACAAGGTCAAAATGGGTTCATGAGACAGGTTAGTTCCATGATGTTCTTCAGTTAGAGGGGCCAGAGTCCCCAGCGGGATTCCAGTGCACATCCCCCTTCCCCTCTGCTGTCCCTACCTTTCACCAAGGGGAAGAAGCAGTCCATCTCCACACTGCTTCGGGAATGGGAGATGCACAGGGCGCTGCTGGGGACCAGGCCTTCCTGTGGGGGACTCCGTTCCGTGGTGCGCACTAGACACCAGCCTGGCCGCTCAGTTGGCCGCTCCAGTAGCTCCACCGTCTGTCCCACCTGGATGGTCAGCTCGCTGCTGTGGCCAGCGTTGAAGTCCTGGAGGACCACGGTCAACTCACATCCGCCAGAGAGCTTGGAGGTCATGGTGGGATGGCAGTAAAACGCGAGGGCATGGAGGGAGGAGACGGGTTGGCGGGTGAGAGGGAAGGCAAGAAAGGATGTGTGAGGGCAGCGGAGAGGACGGAGGGGAGGAAGGAAAAGGGAAAAGACGGGATTCAGGAGAGAAGGCGGAAGATGGAAAAGGGAGTGGGGAACAGGAAAGAAAACAAGGAAAAAAGTAATTAATGGTGGCAATGAATCACTCAGCCATTCTCACTGCAGCAACAGTCTGGTACCTGCCCAGAAGCCAGGGCTTTGATTCTAATTCCTTCTTTGGTTAGAGTTCTTTTCATTATTTCTTCGCCAAGCTTCCAACTAATTATGTCTTTAAACCCCTTCCCAAATATGTCCCTTTTACTTTGTCCAAGGGCTCTACCCCATGCCCCATTTCTGCCCCACAACGACCCCTCAGACTCTTACGGAGCATCTATGTTTAAGACACTCGCTCTCACTTGATTCTAGTTGATGTTTGGAAATAATGGAAGAGAAACTCGCCTTTCTTGTAACCCCTGCTACCTTCCCCCTCCTCACCTCTCATGAACCATTAGCATAAAAAAGGCTGCCATGCCCTGGCCCAGTAGCTCAGTTGGTTGGAGCATTGCCCCGAACATCAAAGGTTCTGGGTTCTATCCCAGGTCAGGGTGCATACAAAAACAAGCAAACCAACCAACCAATGAATGCATAAATAAATAGAAAAACAATTTGATGCTCTCTCTCCCCCCCCCATTCCTCTCTCTCCTCTGTTCCTCTCTCTCTCTCTCTCTCTCTCTCAAATCAATAAATAAAAAATTAAAATAAAACAAAACAGAGGCTGCCAGTGACACAAAAAAATGAGGCTTCAATTCAAAGGCAGAAGCTGAACTCTATATACCTGAAAGGGAAACAGAATTGTATGATGTGAGCTCAGCCACCAGTGACCAAGGGGAAGGATAGTGAGGAACAGGGGTCATGCCTTATTTAGGGACTATCCTTAGTGTGCCATCCTGTCCTCTCTCCAGGCCTGGCCCTTCTCACTGCACTGATCCCGGGGCAGAACCAGTAACCTGGAGATAGGAACAACCTCGACTAGCTAAACACTGAGACTTTCATTTTCCCCATGAGAACTCATTAGTTATTAATTCATCTCCTAGAGCTAAGCATGAAGGCTCCCTCTTGGAACAGCAGTTGTCCTTAGGGGCAGAGTGAGCAGGAGGGCAGGGGAGGAATGAGAAGCTGAGGGGCCCAGCTCAGTAGCCTGTTCTCTAAGGTTCAGCCCTGATAAGTGGTTCAGGGGGAAGCCTCCTGAACCACCTCCCAGGACCTCGCCTTCAGTCTGTGCACCCCTGAGCTAAACCTTCGGGGCGTGCGCTGTCTGCACTAGTACCTATACTAATGCATGAGTCCAAATATGTTGTGTAGCTATGTCACACATGTTTGGGAAGCTCCTGAAGAATGGTAAACTCCAAACATCACACTAAGTTGGGAATCAACAGCCCCACCAGTACCAAGAGCTCTGCATTCAGGCCTTTGAGAGTTTTCTAATAACGGAACTTGAATGGCACGTGGGCTTAAGAAGGTTAACATGGTGCATCAGACTGGTGATTGCATATGCATCACCACCAATCACAGAGCAGGGAGTTAGCTCTAAACACATTCCCACAGTGGGCAGGGCTCTGCTGGTGGGATAAGATCAGGAAGAAAAATCTGTGGGACAGAAGGTGAGATATGGAAAGAAACAACAGAAGAAAAAACACGATTGTTGGCTAATTTCTTTTTTCCCATTTAGCTTTCCCGGTCCCATTAAATGCACAGTCCCTGTTCTCCCACTCTCCTAATACTCTCTGCCTAAAGCAACATTTAGGGAAGGATGTTGTGGGATGGGAATGCTTCAGCGCTGCAGAGTGCTTTTACAGTGTCCAAAGTACCTTCGCATTAATTACCTACTCAATCCTCACAATAACCAGGTGATATTACCATCTCTCATACATCAAGACATTTAAGCTCAGAAATGTCAAGATTGGTGGTTGGAACATTAAGTGTGCATGAAGATCACCTGGGAGCTTATAAAAATCCCTCCCTTGCCCCCAGCTCCCTGATTCCGGAGGCCTGGATTAGGGCCCCCAAATGCATATTTTTTAAAAAAGATTTTATTTATTTTTAGAGAAAGGGGAAGGGAGGAAGAAAAAGAGGGAGAGAAATGGATGTCACAGAGAAACATCAATTGGATGCCTCTTGTACACTCCCCAACTACAGACCGAACCCACAACCCAGGCATGGGAATTGAACCAGCAACCTTTCACTTTGTGAGATGACACCCAACCAACTGAGCCACACCGGTCATGGCCCAAAATGCATATTTTTAACAAGAAGCCCAACTCATGATTCTGAAAAAGGGGTTTCGTCTGGGATATTGTCTGAGAAACACTGACTAGGTGGTTTCTCATAGTCACCCAGCTGGACTTGAACCTAGACCTCAACTACAAATCCCATGGTCTTTAAAGCATACACCAGGGCAAGTTATACACTATTTTTAGGTATGTTTGTTATTGGAGGGGCTGGGAAACAGATGAGAGAGGAATACATCAGTGGCCTGAACTACTGGTCCTCTCAGCATTTGCTTGGCCTACATCAGCCTCTCAAACTTTTTGGATTGCAATCTTCTGTAAGAAATACTTTTTATATCTTGACCAGTCTATACTATGTATGAATAGTGATATCATTGAAACACACATTTCTCTCTGATACTCTATTTTTTTTTTTTGGTCTCAATTGCTGATAGCTTCTCACAAAATTGATTCCACTTTCCACTAGTGGGTTATTTGTAGAATGCTGGCCTAGATGGCCATGAACATTCTTCCACCTGAGAATTTCTGTCACTGAGCTCGTAGGCCTCAGTGCAGTTGTTCCTTTGTGGCAACTGTCATGTACTCAGTGTTCTTCCTTGGGGTAAAGTGTGCACACGATCTGAGATGCAACTTGCAGCCCTTTGCAGACTGCTGAGGCAGAGCAGAGAGGCTCTGGTTGCAAAAAGCCCAGCGTGTCTCCCAGATACAAGGCCCACTGTCCCCTAGGTCAAATTACAGCCAGACTTACTGGCAGGTTGGGGTCTGGAGTTGGGGGGTGGGGAAGGATAAAGAGCCAGGCTGTGTGCTTTGACAATTCAATGATCCAGTTCCTGGAGAGAAGCCTGGAAATACCACTAGATGGTGGAGTTTGTTCCCCACAGGCTGCTCAGTCTGGACAGATGAAGAAGAAAGTGGAAGGAAGAAAGGTGATCAACGGACAATGCCCCTGGTGTTCAAGCTTTAGATCTAGTCAAACACCATTATGAATGAATGTCTGGTTCACCTTACCTCAGTGACTGATCATAGGGATTTACTACACCAAGTCCCCAGCCCAGGGCAATGAGGGAATTCCAAAGTGGGGAGGCTGAGGGGGGTTAAGAGATATAACTTGGAGGTCAGCCAGAGCTGCCCCTGAAACAGTCCCTCCTCACCCTCTCTTCAGAGTAGCAAGGAAGCCTCAGTGTGCCCAGGGAACTCAGGGTTCACACTTAGGAGAATGCGTAACTGGGATCAGTACTGGAAAGTTCTAAGAGCTCCAGTCAGTAGGGGAGGGATCAAGGACAGAGGGGCCAAAGACCTCTGAGGAATCTTGGCATACCTGAAAGACTTTTACTTGCAGTCCTTAAATGCAATTCATTCATGGTTCATGCTTGAAGCCTTCTTCTGGACTGTGATGAGTCACACCACCAACTGAACGATAGTTAAATGGAGTGCTTCCCTCATTAATCCATAAAATCCACATTCCTTCACAAATACTAAATTGTCAATTTCTTAGAAATGTACACGTGTGTTTTCTCATCCTGACCAGTTCTGGTGTGTGTCAGCTGGTCTCCTGTCCTACAGAGCCCAGGGTCAGTATTTTCTCTTTCTCTTCTTTGCATTTCCAAATGACCAGTGAACGTGTCCCCACTCTTCCTTTCTTCCCCTTTATCATGCTTCAGTCCTTGGCAGAGGCACATTCAGGAAGCCCCCACTTCTCTCCCTGAGCGGAATCTCTGCTCCCAGGAATTTAAATAGGTTTTATCCAATGGTCTGTTGTAGAAAATTGTAAGCCACTTCTCTATTTTGTCTGATTTCTTCCTCTCAGCTTTTTAAGAACTGTTTTAATGCCCTCCTTTGCACATCTTTAGATTTTGATTTTATATTTCTTGGCATATTTGTTTTCTAATTTTCCCTCTTAGGCCCACATAGTCTTCTCCACATTTGGCTTTCTTTTTCTTTTTTCAAGTATTGTATTTATTTTTAGAGAGAGAGGAAGGGAGGGAAAAAGAGAGGGGAAAAAATATCGATGTGCGAGAGAAACATCAATCAGTTGCCTCTCGCGTGTGCACCCCTGCCTCCAGCTGGGGACCTGGCCTGCAACCCAAGCACGCATCCTGACCGGGAATCTAATTGGCTACCTTTTGGTTTGCAGATCAGCTCTCAATCCACTGAGCCACACTGGCCAGGGCTGGTGTGCCTTTCAACACCTTGTCAGAGAGACCCTTTTATGTTCTAATTTTTCTTCTGGCTGAGCCTTCCTTCCCACAAATCGCCCTGTGTAGGCTGGTGTTGCCTCTCACTTGTTTCCTGCTTGACTTTAATTAATCATAGAGACACTGACGTGGATCTGGAAAACCACTGCTATTCATCCTCCTTGCCTCCCTCCTGGGCTAACTGATCAGCCACTTGATCTCTCCCTGGGTAGAGCCAGTCACAGCGAAGGCAGCACAGAGGCCCCTCTGTCTTAACTCTCTCTCCTTCTCTCTCTATCCATCCCATATTCTGACTTATTTTAAATTGGCTTTATCTTTAATTGTCAGTTCCTTGAACATCCACCTCCTCCTGTGTATGCCCCTAACCACTTTCCCCCTAACCACTCCTCACTCTTACCTCTCTGATGCGTCTTTTCTCCCTTCCCCGTTCCTAATTCTCCCGTTTCATGGCTCC